CTCGTAGTCGAGCTGTCTCGACTAGAGCTTTCTTTCTTGTTTTTTATTTATTTTTATTTTTATTTTATTTATATTATACATATTTTTTATTTTCGCCTAATAAATTTAAAATTGATTTTATTTTAATCTATTTTCTATTTGTTTATTTATTTATTTAATTTTAATTTATTTTCTAACTTTCAATAAATTTTTATTTATGTTCAGCATTTGTAAATATTTCTGGTGGACTATGGGATATTTATCAAGGGGATATCTATCACGATTTAAACTAGACGTGCTTATTAACGTAGCCCAAAGTCACGACTGAAGCGAGCGACTTCCTTGACCACTCTACGCATTAGGACTTTAAAATCTAGTAAACTTACTTGGACTTTCACTCCTTTTTGTATGAAATCAGCGACAAAAAATACTTCTGCTACCAATATCTAACGACTTCAATATCGACCTCTTGCTGGCCAATCGCAGTTGTCAACAAGGCAGCAGATAATGCCAACACACGCCTCTGCGCAGCTTTACCGCCCTGCTGCGCTGCTCTATTCCCGTGCACTGCAAATAAATACAATGGCAAATGTTTGATTATGAGCACAAACAGGCGGAAGTTAGTTAGACATTGTCGCAATGCAATATGTCAAACACGTGACTTGGCAAAGTTTTTAACAAGCTGCTCACGTGACCGCCGAGGCCGTAGAAAAGGCTTCGAGTAGCAGCAGCTCTGGCTCGAGCCGTGCCCCGACGAAAGAGGCCAGTCAGCCAGAGAGCACAGCCACGTAGAGCAGCATATTTAACGTATGTACTATACATGGTAATTTTAATGGAATCCACTGGGTCTAGTAAGTCGTTCGTCATGTTGACTTTAGCTCGGCGCATGGCTGACCTGTGTTACCTGGACGAGTAGACACGGCACACAGACAGACACACAGACAGCCATGGCCTAGCAGCAGCTCACCTGCAGTATCTCGTCGCATGCAAACAGACGCCGACGTGCCCGACCGATTCAGATACATTTCCAAGCTTCTCTTTGGAGTCTGACCATTCTGCGTGCGTAAAGTAGACTGTGACAGCATTGTTAACATAGCTGCTAGTCATTACTTTTATATGTATGTATAAATGTACATATATACATATGTATATATATAATGTAAGTACATTTATTTGTATGTGTATTTTAAGCAAGAGTTTAAGATCTTGCCTGTATATTCACAACACGATGCTGCTGCATTGCCTGAGCTACTCTAATCGAAATTTTTATTTTCAGTCTGTACAATATTTAGAAGGTATAGTATTCATACTCAAAGAGAGAAAGAGCGAGAGAGCGAGAGAGACAGCCAGAGAGAGAGAGAGAGAGAAATGAATGGCTTAATCGAAAACTGGATGGGATGCAAAGTAAAGTAAAGCTTCACCTGCTTGGCCTGGGAAACCACGAAAATTCAGCCCCACTATTAAATAAAGCACTTTAGATACATCAAACATTACGACTTACAATTGATTATCACAGCATCTGCCAATATCAGCTCAATTAAAAAACATTTCCAAATTGATTGGCTGAACAATTCACCAGACTACAATACGCTTTGGTTAACTTATATCAATAATATTTATTTTAAATTCTAGCTCGCAGTTAGACAGTCCAATAATATGTGGTCACAGCAATAAACGTGACAATAATACAAATGAGTGCAGAAATTACTGCAAATCAAGCTGAACTTTAAGATCAACATCAACAGTAAGAAGATAAGCACATGGCTAGTCATTTAGTTCGACTAGAGACTCCATTAGTTTTGTCTGTCTAGCCTCTTGAGCTATCTACCATTAGCCTTAGGACTTGTGTTCCTTCCACTCATCAGACTTGTACTTGACCTCGGGCTGCTTCTTGCCGTCTAATCCTGTCAATTTGTGTGTCTTATTTGTTACCTTGCCCCAGGCGGCCTCTTAAGGATGTGTGTCCTTCGACTCAAGTGGTAAGTCAACAGAAATGTATAAGTGTTCCAGTTAATAAACTTAGATATATCAATTTTTTTTTCTCTATAGACAAGCGAATATCTCTTTAAAAGAGAGGCCCTAAATTACTGGAAACAGTTAAGTTTTTCATAACACAACTCATTGCGTATTATTCTAATGTGAACATTTTTATTTTAATTATTTTATTTTATTTATTTATTTTTTTTTTTTTAAATAAATTTTTAATCTCTTCATGCTTGCATTTGTTCATTTATTCAGTTGATTAAACAAAGTTGATTGCGAAAAGCCGCTGCGATATTTATTATGAATTACCTTATCTGAATTATTGAACAGCACAGTGAATGAACCCAGTGCAGTAGAGAAGCTCTTCTACTACGTACATATATTAATGATAATATTTTATAGAATGATATTTTATTTAAATTAAATATAAGTAGTTTTGGAGTTAAGGATGTGTATATAAAAAATAAATATATGCTTGTCTATGATTTGACTCTGAGATGATGTAATATTTAGTACATTTTTTACAGAATATGTTGTAAAATAGAAGAAATATATGTACATATGTGTTAGTTATATTTATATATATTTACATATTGCATGACATTGTTTATTTACATTGCTAATCGACGCACCTGCTGTAGCTCTGATTTCAATTCGTGTTCATTCAGCTGCTCCACTTTTCAACCCAATTCAATACTTTGGCTTATGGAATGTTCCAGCTGTCGTCGCTAGGCGTGAAAATGTTCAAGTCAGCAGTTTTAGCTGGCTTTTTAGCTCCGGCCGCACTGCTGTCTAACTGGCACAGATGGCAAGGCGTATGCTGCCGATATACGTACATATATGTATGTATATGTGCCTGCCACGATCCCGTTGACCGCGCGACTTTTGCAGCACGGATTGCTGGCAACGCGTGCCGCGGGCTGCGTCAGATATCTTACTGGCATAAAAGTACATCGCCATATGTCACGTTCGAGCTGCTGCTGCTCGTGATGCGCTGTCATATGTGTGTGTGTGTGTGTAAGTGTGTGTGTGTGTGTTAGTGTAACGACAGTAGCTGCTTACAAATGGATTGCGCTGTGTTTGATTAACGCACAGACACGGACCGAACAGGTGACAGACTGTAGTCGCCGTAGGATGTGTAACCATCACGTCGCCCGAGATACGTGCGCTTAAAAAGAATGAATAGTTAGATGGTGAGAATGTGAGGCATTTATTATGATTCATTGACTTGTCATCACATTCACATTGTATGCAATCGATCAAACGGGTGGGAGTTGAAAGACTCAGATATATACGTATATAAAAAAAAAAAAAAGAAATACTTAGCCTAAGTGTAACGACAATAATGAAATCATAAATTCAGTAATAGCAAATTAACTTGAGAGTCGTAAATTAGAATAGTTTTATTGTCAATAAAAGCGATAGTTAAAGTAAATAAAGCTGGCTGAGAGTCGTCAAAGCCGAAACGGTTTAATAGTAAAATAAAATGTAATCAATTTGACATGAGCATAAACTTTTTATCTCTAACCAAAATAGAATATATTTGATTGAAGCTTGCTAAGTTTTAAAGCTCAAATTATTTATATTTCTTTTTAGTTATTTAGTATTCCAGTCTTTAACTTTTTTTTATTGAAAGTAATGTTTTTTAACTTTCTATCACTTTAAAGTTTCTAGGATACCGGATACTTTGGTTTCTGATTTGCCATGGCTAACACCTTTTCATACAAAAGTACCCAAAAATACATTTTCCGAATTTCGGTTCAATGCTGCCAAGTTTGGATTAAAGTTAATAGTAAATAATATGAAAAATTGTTTTTAAATTAATTCTTCAATCGAATACAATAGAAGACATTCCAGCGATTTATTAATTTATATTAATATTGATTTTATATTCAGCGAAATATATCCATCTGCATTTCATACAAGTTTACGGTGCGTATGAGTAATATTTATGACACAATTCAGCTGCATATTTACATAACCCAGTGTGCAGCGGCATGTTCACGATTATTTTTTTATGACTGCCAATTAATATATAAATATTGAAAATTAATTTTTTATTTAGTATGTCTAAATTGTCCTTAAGAATGTTTTTCTATATGACATCAATCAAGGAAAACCCTATTAAATTTTTTAAATTTTGATTTAATATATGTAATTTAATAATATTACACAATTTATCACTTTGCTATACTGAATTTCTTGTTACTTCAATTCAGTTAAAAAAAAAATAAATAAATAAATTCAATTACATTATTTACCAAATGTACGTATTAAGAAATAAATTAGTACAATAAAATTCAATTGCGCCTTTCGAACATCTCGCATCAAACAGCCGTTGTGAACTAAATTTTAACATTCGCATTGACAGCCTTTGTGACATCCTCTGTTAAATAGTGGGAAATGTTATGCACGCTGTTGACATGCTGTTAGTACATATAGTGAACCAGCTCATGCAGAGCCCGTGCTTTGCAACATGTTGCAGACCAACGATGAGTTTGCTGTTCGACTAATATGACTTGGCTGCGCACTCATTGCTTGAATTGTCGGCGCTCGTGTGTGTTACCTTGCCCGAAACTGGGCTGGCCACATGTCTAATGGCCCTGCCAACACATCTTGGCGGAGAGTCTTTGGGGAACGCCACAAAACAGATATCTGGCTGGCCACACAGCTGTATTCCCACATGTTGTTTTCCTTTGTGAAATATAGGCAATTATTTAGCTGCATTATCATGTGGTTGGCTTATCTGGACTCCAAATCTATATATAAATGCTTTAAATGTCTGAGTCACAAAAGTTCACACAGCAAATTAGCGAAATCAATTCGCATTTTCTTTTCTGTTTCTGTTCATTTTTTTTCTAGAGTGCTCTCTTTGACTTGGGGTCAAGAGTCTTTAACACCCACACAACCACACAAACACACCACACAGAAGCTCTCACAGTAGCTATACATTGGCTGTGGTGGGGGCAAACATTTTGTGAGGTCATTTGGGAAATTGCTGAGCAAAACTTGGAGCCAGCTAAAGGCCAAAGTTTCAACCAGTAGCTTAAATTGCATATTTTTGTTGATTTTTGTTATGGCGTAGTAAAAGCTGAGTTTGATATAGATATATATGTCAGTATATTTATATGTGTATGGAATAAAAGTCTTTTTCATATTTCAAGCTCATTTATATTTAGTTTGCTTGCGACTTTCTGCTTCAGTCAGTTTTATATTATATTTATGTTTATACATGCATATATATTGCCCCCAGAATAATTCCACTCTCCACATTCAAAACAACAAAACTTCTGCTCTCAAGTTAAGCTATAATTCTAACTGCATATATTCTTCCCTGAGCAACAAGTGGATTCTCACAATAGTCACGCCTTTATTTTCAGATATTTAAGTTAGTATGTTAGATTCGTTTATTGTGCCAAATTGCAGTTGACTGAGAAAGAGTTGCTCATGTGTAAGCCGCTCACACAGGCATCAGCGGGTTCGTCGTCGTATTTACATATGCAAATGTGGGATATTTGAACACACTTGGCTCCGTGTCTAATCCAATTTCAATGGCGTAATCCACCATGACTGACACTAAAAGCAAAGTCGAAAGACGCCTGTCAACTGGTGGGTTAATGCCATTGCCGAATGTCATTCGCCATTTCTTGCCCAAAAGATCTTCACGCACCAGGGCACTTCAAATGCTTGAGTACTCAATTGAATTACTCAAACGCATCACATCCTATGCGTAGTTGTGCGCCGCATCTCATACAAAGGTCTACAATACATCGTGTTCGTCCTCGCATCGTTCAGTTTCACTTGTTAAGTTAAATAAGTTGTGTGCGGTGCTTTAATGCCAACATAAAAGCTCAAAGTTGACCACTTTATTTCGACTTTTGCTTAAGTTTTATGGACGCTGCACAGATTCCATGAAGATTTCGTACTCGGAATGCTTGCAACGTGCTCGGCTTAACAGGCAAGTTGGCAACTTTATTAGACCACAAAAATGGCTGCATTCAAAATGAAATTGCATTTCATAAGTTGCCTCAAGATGTGGCCAGACAAGCGCAGAATATCAAATATCAACTGAATATAAACTGAATTCAAAAAACAACAAAAACTATAATTTGCTGATATAGTATATATGCAAAGCTGTACATCATTTTATATTGTTTTGATGAACAGAAAAAATGAGTTTTATATAAGCATAACTTGAGTAAGTTCTCTTTATATAATTGGTATATAATTTAATAAGTGCTAAAATCATTTTTACATCCGCAATAAATGCAAACCTAATTTTTAAATAATTTAATAGTTATCATAAAACATATATTTGCATGTATGAAGTGTAAGCAGGCTTCAGCAGGAAAATACAATTTAATTTGACAGGCAAATGATAAAAAAAAAAAATAAAATAAAATAAATGAAAACATTAAACTCGGGTGTCTCCCGCCCAAGAATACTCATTCACAGTCCAAGCGCCTAGCCGTATCCATTTCCCGCCTCTAATCGGTATAAACACGAGTTTTATTCCACTTGCCTAGCCCCTAGGTGATTCAAGAAAATCGTTAATTTGAGGACATGCACGAGGATAAGTTTCCAGCATAAGAACTCTACCTTTAATATACTCCTTTTACTTCCGTGAGTGTGTATAAAATTATAGAGAAGTTATATGAGATTTCATACGACAGTCTGCTATAAATATGGCACAAAGCCATTTGTATTTAATGCATTCTTAAGTTGTGTGAGCGAGTGCATGTGAGAGAGAGAGGAAGGGAAAGAGAGTGCCTGTCGAGGGCTGTGTAAGGCAAATGAGTGTGTGGAAAAATAAAATAAAAATCGTATTCAACAAGAGATTCACCAGTTTAGAGCACATTTTGTCATTCAAGCACTACTATATGGAATGATATATGTACATATGTATGTATATATATATATATATATTCCCATTTTAATTTCAACAATATGAACAGCACAAAATTCTTTGTTTCTGTATATGCGAACAATCTGCATATTGGCTTGGCATCGCAGTCACTGAATAATTGTGCTAATGGCGCAAATTTCCAGTGAATGCAGCAACCTTAATTTAACTCTGCACTTTTCGCTCTTTCGCTTATTTTCGTTACACTCAACAGCAATTAAATGAAACTCATTTGGCGCACCTGTCTTGCTCTATCTCTGTCTCTCTCTCTTCCGCAGCGTGTCTAACTTTTAACTATTTATTTATCTTGCCAACTTTGCGCTAAAATTAAACAAGTTTGAAGTTTAAACATTCAGTTAGCATATAGCTTCTTTTCATTCTGGGCTGATTGATTGTCTTCAGTTTAATTTATTCTCCCTTTCAGTTTGTTTATTTACTGTGCCTAAACAAAAATGAAATAAAGAAAAGCTAACGCCCAATTTATTGTTATTACAGCTCGGAAATTAATTTGAAAAATGTTCACCATTTTATGACTGCTTTAATTGCAGCCATTTCATTTATTAGGTGAAATTTATTTTACTCGACAACATTTTTATTCGCTGCCATAAAATTTTTACTGTGCATC